CCCCGCCACTGAATTCACCCCTTAACTCCCTAATGCTGCTGGTTCACTCACAGCCCCGCCCCTTTCATCATCCCTCCTATTACTGTCTCCTGGCACAGCCCCCTACCCCCTGACACCACCCCTTAACACATGGCTCCACCCCTCATCTTCTGGCACCGCCCCTTACTAAGGGATACTGAGCATTGCTCATGTGGTGACCAGGCCATATATAAGCATTTAAAAATATGCCTTGAGATGTGGCTATGCAGTTTTTCCACAGGATTTAAAGTTGTGCTTTATACTGTAAGAAACTGTGTAACATCCTAAATTGCACTCATTTATTTATGCACACTTAATGTAACAAAACTAAGTGCACATCAGGAACGGTTCTCACTCTGTTCCCTCCCGTCTATCCCCAGTTCTTCATCATTGTCCTCATCATCTTCATTGCTGAGGTGGCTGGCGCTGTGGTGGTCCTCGTCTTCTCCCCCCTGGTGAGTGGTCTTCTGATTGTCCGTCTGGTCCTGCTCTGTCCTTCATGGGTCCTGTCACAAGCTTGTATGCCAGATCGGAGGCCTACAGGGAGTCTTAGACTGTGGACAGATGAACGTAGCCGGTGAAAGATCGAAAGGATGTCATACATTCTTCACGTGGCCTCTGGGAATCGGCTTTAAGTTGTTTTTTTATTAAATCAGAAATTTAAGAAAAGAAACCCCAGATCACTCACTCATCAGCTGGTTAACTTTATTTTGTCACCTCATAAGGGCTGTAAATTGGCAGGGTAACAATAACTAAGTCCAGACACACTAGGAAACAGCCCTAAATCTGAAACAGATTTTTCAGATTCCTGCAAAAAGCACAACTCCAACAGGCTCTGTATTTTCCATTTTGTTTCGTGCTCAGTATTGCAGATACAGTGTATATCATGCCCATCATTAGCGCTTTCACCAAGTGATGTAAAAAGGTTAGATTAAACCCAAACAAGATGTATTGTTCGCAAGGCATTAAATGATGGGTTTCAATTCTGTTTTGGTCTAATCTTTTTGCAGCCTAATATTGCAGACACTGCATATGTCATGCCCATTAATAGAAATATTTCAACATACTAAAAAAGTCTCAATTTTAATATAAACTGAAACTAGAGGAGAAAGGATTTTAATCAAAAAATGATCACAGCTAGAACTCACTTA